TCGTCAGTAAAAAAAAAAAAAAAACAGCCAGAACGGATTAATTGGTTTTCAGTCCATTCCTATGGGAAATTTTGCTTCAACTTAAGAACATTTCAACTTAAGAACACTATTCCAAAACGGATTAAGTTCTTAAGTAGAGGTTCCACTGTAGTTTTTATGGACAGAAAAGAGCAGATACGAATTAAATGGTTTTCAATGCATTCCTATGGGAAATGCAGATTCAACATAAGAACTTTTCAACTTGAGAACCACCTTCCAATACGGATTAAGTTCTTAAGTAGAGACCCCACTGTACCAAGAAGACCAGGAGCTGATTCCATCACTTGGTCCCAAACTATTGAAATGGACTGGCTCTGTGTCTGTGTCTGTGTTTATCTGTGTATATGATACATAAGCTATACGTTGCAGTCATATCCTGCTTGTGGATTTCCCAGAGGCAGGTGGTTGTGAAAAATGGCATGCTGAACTAAGTAGATATTTAGTCTATTCTTGTGCCATTGCTTGGGGCAGATCATAATAATTCTCCCTTTTGCTGATGAATCACGGAGACTTAAAAGACAATGACTTTTGCCTGAGCTGCAAGTCAGGTCGTGATGTTTCCCCCCCCCCCCCCCGNGGGATTTGTACCTGCACTGTTAATGATTCTGCCTAAAAAGTTTATTTTATTTATTATTTCTTTGAACTGTGAAAAGTACCAGTCTGGACTGTTTATCTGGATTCAGCTTCCGCTGGAAGGTCATCACTGGATGCCTGTTGGTGTTGGAGGTTCATTGGGCCACTCCTATTACATTTTAAATGTATTCATTAGATTTATATCCCGTGTTTCCTCTGAAGAGCACAAGTTGGCATTGATGGTATTGCTCCCCTGTTGTTACCGTTGTTACCAAATGCATCTCTAGGGAGGCAGCCAGTATCTCAAGATACTGTTTTCTGTTCATATTCAGCTCTGTGTCTGCCAGTCTATTGTTCTTTTCACGCATAGACCAATTCTAAATGCATTATCCATTGCCAAAGCAGGAAGATTTGCTTCTCTGTGTGATGGCTCAGTACCAAGAAGCAATTGACCAACTCTTCAGTTCCCATGGCAACATTCTGCCTCTGGTTTTCTAGAAGTCCAGGTTTAACTTGTACTGTTAAGGTAGTCTCTCCATCCCCAATTTTGGAAAAATAAAACCTTTGCATTAGAAGGAATCTCAAAGAGTTTACTGTCCAACACCAAACTGTAGCAATATATATATTTCTTTTTTCTCCAGCAAGCAGAACTAATTTAAGTCGGGAGCACTTGGGTCCAAGCTCTTATATTTCCATTGTAGGAATTCCATCCATTTCTATAGATGGAATATATCAATTGCATTCCAAAATACTCCACTGTGATTGCAATCATAAACAGATCTTCTGGGATGTAAGCTCTTTTGAGCTCATGGTGACTTAATGTTTTGAGGCTATATATTTTATAGTTATCTCCCGAAATCCATGGCGAGATGAAGCACCATAAAAATACAAATATTGTGGTCCGTCACCTCACTTTATAGTCTTAATTTTTATTTCCAAGATGCACAGGTAATCTGTAAAATATCTGACTTACTATTGCCTCAATAAATTCAGTGGCTCTTTTGAACCATCAGAACATTGTTACTGGGCTGTAAATATAAAGGATGACACTATTATGAGGTCATCTTACATCATGATAAAAAATACCTAGAGAAGATAGATACAGTAAAGTGGTATTATATATAGGCTAAAAGGTCATTATCCTCATTGTTAGTCTTGTTAAAGCCAAGAAGTTGAGCTACTGTTAGAGACGCAACAGTGTGTGAAAAAAAATACTAAAGGAAATACTGGTTCCTCAAGTATGTGATTGAGAAAGTCTCCAAAATCAAAATCAATTTACCAAATATGTCAGGAAGAA